CATTTGCAAGGCATGCCGCACAAACCGACAGCTAGCAAGAAAATGTCCTTGTCGCTGCTGAACTCCAATTCTTGATTCATACCACGCGGCTCCATGATGTTCAACAGTTCACTGTAACGGTTCCGTGCCGAAACATGTCGCTCGACACAGTAGAAAGGGCCATAAGGAAACAGACGGCTAGTTTCTGCGCAAACACGTTTGAAGTAGAACTCAAAGTTTTCCAGGAGGGCGTTTACCATTCGAAGAATGTTCATTCCTACAGTGACACATGGACTTCTGGCGCCAAAGTACGAAAGAGAAAAGCTTGGGTCCGTAAAAAGTTTCGCCGTTCGAGCAGCACCACCACCACGGATTTTGTTACTGAACGGTAATAAACACAGAAGCAATGCTTTCGAAGCAGAGTAACGCCACAACGCGTTATTCCTGTCAAAGCAATTGTGACACGTCAGATCTGAGTCAGAAACAATGTCCCGTTTCGACGTAATAGAAAAACAAGAATTGCGCATCACAAGAAAACGTGAATCCTTGAAGCCCTTCTGAGAAGAAAACAAAAAACAACCATCAGCTGTAGCAGTTGCAGCAACCTTGCTTTCTTCGTTTATCCATGGTAAGCCGCCGCTGTCAACGCCAATAAAACTTGCGTTACCGGAAGCGATTATCCATCGAACTCGAACCTCTCTAGACTCAGCTTGAACCCTGATTCTTCCAGCACTACAGTGCCAAAACGGATCATTTCCAATGCGTCCAAGTTGACCAGAACGATGATCCCCAAAAGAGAACGCTGTTCCATCGTCCATCAAAATAACTGTGTGGTTGCGACCCGCTGAAATGCTCTGAGCATGGCTCTGTGACGGGACATCAGGAAACTGGAACCCAAAAAAACGATTTGTATTGCCCATGCCCAGTTGACCATAGTCATTTTCACCGCAAGTCGCAATCATTCCTTCGCTACTCAATAACACTATATGATTCTCACCACAGCAAACCTCATTCACTGACATGCCATCCGGAATCATGTTCCTCAAGGTATCTAAATGGCCGATATCCTCTGTAGTAGAACCGTTGCGCACAAAGTTTGCAAATTCTTGATCGCCAACCATAAATAAATGATTGTCATCGGTCCAGAATAACAGCTTCGAGTCTGAGAAAAGAATTTTGCTTATGTTTTTCGACTTCAGCCCCACAACATGGTCTAGTTCAATTTTCAGGCTCAAACCATTTCGACCAATTACGTACAAATGATCGTCCAATGTCATCAAGTAAACCTGATCGGAATTACAGATCGCCATTAAGACAACTCCTCTCAAGCCAACACAGTTCACAATATCATATGAGTGTAACTTTGACGTCTCAAAAGGAAAGACGCCGTCGAATTCCTTCACGAGTTCGCCCATGACGTAGCCGGTGCCACACTTGGTGACCAACACGGCGCACGTTCCTTCCGCGTTGACGAACACATCTTTTACGCTTTCGACGATCGGAACATAATGCCACTCTCTGTTCACGTCGTCGATACAACCACTGTTCAAAAACGCAGCTTTGCCTCCCTTTGTGATGATGAACGTTAAACGTTCAGATGACTTGATATCGACCAAGTCTGAACACCTCACCGGAAATCTGCCTTCGACTTTAATGCCAGAAACATCATATGTTTCACCGAAACTGCGAAGTTGAACATCAAAGTGATACACGTCGTCGCTCACTATTTTAAATGAATCGTTGAGCGTTGCCATGTGCAGCAGCGACTGCCCATCAACGTATATTAACGATAAATGGTCGCCATCAGACACGAGTTCTCCGTGACCTTCGCGAAAACGATGGTCGCTCATCGTTACTTCTGACATTACTTTCAGACTGTCTTTAGTCAACTGTAGAGTTATGATCTCTCCTACGAGACACACGATGTTTTTATGACAAATGATCTTCTTCCATTTGTCCTGTGAAGGCGTCTCTTTGCGAAGGTATTCGTAACCAGGTCTTGTACATGCGAAACCTGATCCCAATTTGTATAAGTAGCTTCTGCAAAGAATGTATATGTATTCGCCGTCTACGGCAAAAGACACAAATGCGTTGTCATCATGTGACGTGGTAGAATCTTTAACACACGGCAGAGGTACGCGTACAGCAACTGCTAAATCCTCTTCGATGCCTCGTGTAATCCAGTTATATTCGCCGAAACAGACGTTGAACACATTCCGCTCAAGAGATAAATAACTTTCGGGGACCACTAGGACACTGTCATTTGACTGGTTTTCCCCGGATGATGTAAATAACGTGTTCAGCAGTTCCGCAGATGTTCGCAGTAAGAGTTCGTGAGAGTTAGAGGCCATGGACAGCTTTAAGAGGCATGAATGCAATAATGCGCAGGTTTCAGCGTCGGTTTTGAGCTTGTTCTGCAGCCGCATTAAATTAAAGAATAGTTGCCTGTATGACATTCCCGTTGGATTGTCATTTCGATCGTTCAACGACGAATGAATGTATTTCAGAATGGAATGCGCAGTCGCATTCACGTTAACTGAGGGTTCGTTGTTACTCTGCGACATCTGCGTGCACTTGCTGAAAATTGCAAGAATCGAATCGGTTGCGGATGCATACTCCTGATCCTCGGAGGATAATTCGCGGTCAGTAATTGCAATGGCATCCAATGGTTGAACGATCGATGACAAACAGTCATAAGACCAGGCGAAACATCGTACGCAGAAATTAGCGATTTCAGCGGATACGCCTAGAGGCAAAAGGAATTTGTTTAACGCTGAATCAAGTGTTACCGTAGTATGCGATAGTGGAAAGATGGCACTTCGTTTAGGGAGCAACGATACAGCTAGCTCGTACGATGGCATCGGATCTCCTCGCAAAGTGGTAAGCACGTTCAAAAGTCGCAAAAACTGCTGTCGCGACTGTTCATCTACGCTAGCACAAAGTCGCATAGTTGACATTTCTTGGCCAAACGCACATTCACAGTGGCAAAGCCTAAAACGAATGTCTTCACTAAAGAACTTCAAGAACTGCCCGAACAGACAAAAACGGCAAATAACTCGCTGTTAAACAGATTTCTCCAATAGAAACGACCTCACCACTGAATCGTACTTAACTATTTTTTGAAGTTTCGGCTGTGAAGAAGGTAGACTGCATCAAAAAGAAAGTTTAACGTTGCTAATACGGATAAATATCAAAAAATATTAACTTGAATAATCATAAAAATAAACAAAGAGCTGACATACGCTGGTACACTGAGGTCTCTAACTATGCGATAATGAAGCTATATTTCAGAGAAATTTTATCGCTTACATCTTGTGCTTATTTTTAGTTAGCTAAGGTGAACCACGTTTAATTGCAACCGTAAGGAGCGTGCATCAAACAGAATCGTCAAAGTGCTTCACGCTCTGACATAGACATACGCAGAACACCATGCTGCCCCGCTGGATGTAGGTCAATAGCTTGCTACCCGTGTTATTGTTAGCTGTCTCGAAGCAGAGAGGTAAATTTCTTATGCAAGTGAATTAGCAGCCAAAAAATTTTGTCACACTGAGATTTGAACCCAGTAAATCTGAAATGCAACGCAAACGAATTATATCCACTGGTTTTTTTACTAGATATTTTTTGTAGGACAACCTCCCGATTTTTTACTCTGCAGCATCCTTGTTCCTAGCTGCTTAGGGGAGGAATTTTTATCGTCAGGTCATTCACGGTGAAAATATAGGAAATAGGAATTTTTTTAAGGTATTATTAAGGGTAAATATACACGTATATTTGTACAAGCGAAGACGCACTGCAGATATAAATAAGGAACGTGAGGTAGCATAGGTCCAAGGGTATGACACCTACTACAATATAGTTCCAATTTTTTGCAGGTGATCGACCAACTAAACATTTGTGGGCGGAACTAATTCAGCGTAGAAGATTTTAGAACAAAACAAATATCATAAACGGTCATCCCGAAGTAACCAACAGTTCTTAACCTATCCACTGATAATGACGTAATCAGACCGATGGAGCTCGGAGGTCAATATCGCACCCTAATACAATTGCTACAGGAAAACTTGCTAGCGACGAAGAACATAACCGACGCAACCGACATCGCCAAAATCAGTCCGAGAAGCCAAAGCGTCAGACATCGAGGTACTCGGTCCGTGAACCCCTGATACCTAGGAAGACGATAACGAACAGCCAGTAGTGCTTAGTCACATAAAAGCATAGAGATCAAACAACGACGCAGTTAAAGTGCGACATTTGTTAAATCAAACAATACAACGGGGCACTCTGATCTTTGATGAACTGAATCAAACTTGGTTCATTGTTCATCCACTGTAAGGACGAAAAATCGTAAACAGCACTCGTCACATTACAGTATCCAATAATGATTTAAAGGTAAATTTTAAAAAAACAAAAAAGTTAAGGTGAAGGTCTCAACAAAAATATATGATACATTCCCCCGTAAAGTCATGTCAAATTACTTTGAGGCTTGGTAAACCAAGAAATGCATTTCAATGCCTTAATGCGCAGATATTCGCACATATTTCGGCATAAAGGTGAAATAAAAATGCATGAAAAGTAGTGCACATTCTAAGCAGCTATCTACACTAACAAACTACAATATGTCTATCATTACATGAGTCACCACAGGAATGACTTGGTTTTTCTCAGTTTTGTCCGAAGGCATACGTTCAAAATCACTGCTAAGTGCGATGAGGCAATAACGTGTGCCTAGGGAAAGTACGACTCCTAACCAACAAATTAATCCTCTCAACGTACGACACCTACAAAGGAGGAGACCCCATTGGATGCTAGAATGTTAGAGCCTTAAATGTAGAAGGATATATAAATCTTGTCGCAAGGATAAATTTCCATCGCCAATTTAACGTCGGTAATATTTCCGAAACCAAAATTCTGGGACAAGGACAGCCTGATGTTAAAAATAGATGGTCACTCTTATACCAGAAACGAGAAAGACCGCCTTGTTGAAATTACTGCTCTACAATCCTGAGAGTAAAAAATTTCGATTTCATCCGAATGAATCTTTGATCGATTGATGACCTGGCAGGTCCTCGCGAGCCCTATCACGCTGAATTCTGCGGCTCTTATGCACCAGGCGCGCGCGGTGCATTAGGTGCTTGGACGAAGGCAACATCTATGCTTGTTGGTAAGCAGTAGTCGACAATCTCTCCAACACGCTTGACAGTGGTCAGTTGCAATCTGAACACCCAGATCAGCAGCGATCATGGTTGTTGGCCTCGCAGAGTATGAGTCAAATTTCACGAACTGCACATAAATATTTCTTATTCAAGTTTGCGTAAAAAATGGTCACGAACAGCTGTTTCCGCACGGGTAAAAGTGCACTAAAATATTTCGACATCGCTGGTTGAAAAGTAACACAACCAAGTCGATCAGATAATGATCAGGCACATATAACTGCTCGATATTGAAATCAAATAGGAAGTTTGCACTGGAACAATCAAAAAAATGACAAATATCTTTATTTGTACATGGTTAGGAAGGTACCAGGTAGGTATAGAATTGACTTAGCCGTTGGCATGCACGTAAAAAACGTGCACTCAGCCAGTCATTCAGTGTCGAAGACCTATTATCCTTTCAGATCACGGAGACTGACAGGTAAGACTGTTGTATCAAACCATCAAAAGCGTGTCCAAGCTTTAAAGCTTCAAAAAAAGATTACTCGACTCTGGACAAAGTTTTTCGATATAGTTCCTCCAGGTTATTCTTGACTCAC